AAGAAAATGACAGTCTACCTCATGGAGGCAGCCGCAGAGGAAAATTTGCCCTGTATAATCGATAGAAGAAGACTCGTAAGTGGGCGCTAAATAGCAGGCTATTTACGCATAAGCAATTGAGAACTACTACTCCGGGGTGGCTTGTAGTTTTAAATTTAGAGAGAAAACGGACTTTTTAACCGAAAATGGAGAGCTGGAGACGCTGCAGGCAATTTGTTAACTTAGTGGATGAGGAAATCCGAAAATGTTCAGAAGATCGTTGGAAAGGAAAGTCATGGGGAGATTTAGAGGTTGTTTAGTTGAAGATGCATCGGAACATAGATGGATCAAGTGACACCATTAGTTCTATTAACCCTGATTATGATGGATGCAAAAATGACAGGGGATGTCATTTAAGGATGTATTTTGGAGAAATTAATGGAAGCAGCAAGTAGAATTGTGTAGGATAAGGGAAGTATAAGGACAGGCGTCATATTAATTTCGTTGGGATGCCTTCACTGTTTGAGTTAGACAGCAATTAAAAGTCCACGCGCCCGGAAGGAAACACATAAATCAAGAGATCTAAGTCACAAGAATATTTATACGTGTTTTAAACTCAGTTACTCACCATTTTTCAGTGTGAAGGAATTTCACTGGAACTATCTAAAAATTTCCAGCGAGTAAAAATATAGGTTAAAGGCATAATTATAGACTTAAATGAAAAAACGAACATTAAATAATATAGAAAAATAAATTAGAGGCTTAAATGAAACGAAAAAGCAATTAAATCAAGGCACAAACCAGAAAACTCGCAAATGGAGCAAGATGGTGGACCGACGAAACTTGAATTAGCGCATTTAAATCATTTTTACTGTGGATAGTTCAGTGTCACATAGCACGATCTTTTAATGTTTCAGATTTATCCCTACAAAAGAGTTATTTTGAAGACGAAAGAGAGCTTGTTTATTTGAGCTTACTGACAGTTAATGTTATATCTAGTAGAGGCATGAGGTCACTTACCAGTCGAAGCGTCCAGTATGCAGAGTGGTGAAAGTCGTCATATTTCGAGATATTGCGGGATAAATATCGAGATTGTTGTTGGTTTTCTTTATGCTGATGATAGAGTTTTTCGCAAAAAAATCGGCAAAATGCCTTTACCGAACACCAAAGCATCTACGGCCTTGACGAACGGAAGGAAATTTACGATGTGTGGACAGAAACATGGCTGTAGCAAGGACGGAGTGCGCAAACAAGAATGCCGGTGGTACTGAAAGTAGGGCAAAGTACGACAGTAAAGGGAAACAGGAGGATGGAACTACTCCAAAATATCTCACCGCTATTAATTTTTATAATCAATTTTGAAAAGTATAAAAATGTGATGCGAACTTTAAGGTTTGTAAGAGAATTCAAAGGCCTACGTTTACTGATGTTTTCTGTCTTATTTGTGTAGACTAAACGGGATCATATCAGTTTGTCCCCTGAGGTTGCGTTCGACAGTTTCGCGTGTTTTAAGACTAAAGAGGTCTGGTGGTGTTAGAGTGAGTAGTGCTATACCAGTCTAGCTTCCGCTTAAATACTTTAAAGGAAACGGGCATAACAAAGTCCAGGGCAGAGCATTCCAAACGCAGAGCACTCTGTTGCAAAATAAGAACTTTCCCGTGTCCAGCCTAGCCCTCCTCGCACATAGTTCGAATGGATGACCTCTCAAGCACATGGTTGTTGCGAACTGGAAGACGTCACCAGGTAGAAGGCGGAATTCCTCACCGCGCATGGTATGAAATGCTTGTATCAGGTCACCACGTAGGCACCTTTAACTCAATGGAAGTAGATCGAGATTAGACAAACATGTAGTGGTAGTGAGCACCACCCGATAACAAGTTCTGTTGCACGCATTTGAATCTCTTCGAATGTATTGAGCCGTTTCGCTGTCCAGGGCCTCCGGGCTTGGATGGAGAACTCCAGCTATAGCCACACAAATGTGCTAAAAGCTTCAGCGAAGCAGTCTTAATCAAAGGCACAGAAATCCCGTTTGACAAGGTACAGGACGGAGGTCGCAGATTTGGCAACGCTTGCAGGGTGCAACGATGGTTTAAGTAATGTCGTGATCCACATTCCCAGGTCCTTCTGTGCGTCCGCATCTTGCATTTGGATGTCATTCGGGTAGTAAAAATCTGATTCTGAGGGGTGCGTCAACCAACTCGTAGGATACTGCAAGTGTTCTCTTTGAAAGGCAAAAGACCATCCTCCGACCGTGTTTGAAACCGATTTGTGTTCGCCACCAAATGCTTCTCGTTAGCTGTATTTCTGGTGACGCTCGTAGTCTTAATATAATCGGCAAACATAGCGACATCAAAATCCAGTTCACAGACAGTCGACGTTAATAACGAATATTTTAAGGCCAAGAACTGAGCCGTGGGAACATCCTTCTCAACTGCAAACTCGGGCAACTGCTTGTCCCCGAAAGGGGAAATTTGAAAGCGGCCAAGTAGGAAGCTTCAAATCCACTTTAGGAGATTTCATCTAACATTTATTTCCAGACCTCAAATATTCTTACTTTGAAACCTCTAACACATATAGTGCATGGATATTATTTTCCAACTTTGATATTATTGTATCTTTGTAGACAGGTTTTTTCCATAGAACAAACTTCCTATCTCGCACACTATTGACGAAGCATAAAACAAAACAGAGCCAATTATCTGAGTGCAAAAGAAAGGGTTTGTTTTAGGTTTCTCCTGTTTTCCAAAGGGTTTTGACGGTGCCCAAGAGGTGCCTTACCAATAAACCTTATTAACACCTATTTGGCTGAGTTTATGTTGGAGCGGTTAA